TTCCTGGTGCCTGCACACAATTAAATACTGTGAAATGTTTAAAGGCACAATATGTAAGATTTTTTATTAAAATATAAAAAAACCACTAGAACAGTGTTATATGTTTTGCTGACTTGTGTACTTACATTATCCCAAATGTTTAGAAGAATGTTTACTGGTTCAGCGGCCTCGTTTCGCTTCGACGGCTTTCCGCCTCACTCTGCTTCATACTACGATGTCAAGAAATCTTTAATATATTAGCTCATCCATGAACATGATTTCTGCCCGAGTCCCGTCGGTTTGCATCGGCTGTGGGGATGAAGACGACAACTCCCATGATTCCACACTCAGTCAAGGCGTCATCAAACTACGCCTTTGTTTCTTTGTTTGTTTTGAATACGCTCTAGCGGTGAAAACTTACATATTGTACCTTTAAATGTTTTAACATTGATTTTCTGGAAATGGTATACTGGAAAGATGTGCATGGCAATCAAATTTTAAACCTGAAACTATGTTTAACTAAGAACATTATTTTAGATATTACATTATATTACATATATCAATGATGGAATAAACTAACAATTAAATAAATACTCCTGATGTGTATTATATCTTTCAGGTGATGCCACAGTTATCATGGCTCATAGATGCACTCCTCTACCACGACTGAAGGAACTTGCCAGTCTGGCTGACATAGTGATTGCGGCTGCAGGTCAGCTCTTTGTGTCTTGGTCAGGTATTCTGTAATATTATTACATAGCTGTCTATAATACTCAATTCTGATTGGGCAATAGCTGCATTCTGTGGTCAGATATCATTGTGTAATAAACTGTATCATTTATTACATTCATGTATTTACTTATTTGGTAAGTAGCCGTGCAATAAGTTGGATAATGTACCGTAAGCCATGTTCATTTTGTAATAATGACTAGCTGAGTGTATTATACTTTACTTAGACTTTGGTTATGCAACATATTAAGTCAGATGTGCACTTATTTTTTACAGAAATACAAAATGAATTAAGTTTGAATGAGTTTGAACTGTATCTGTATTTTATTCGAAACTGTATTCTACAGTATGTATAAATATTAATAATTTAATAAGATAAAGAATATATTGTGTTCTAAAGAGAATGTGTCTTTGTGAACGGTTGGTCTTAATCTGTAACAACAGGTGTGCCTCACTTAATAACGGCAGATATGGTAAAAGAGGGAGCCGCGGTCATTGATGTCGGCATCAACCGCATGCAGGACCCTGTCACTGGTAAACTTCGTCTTGTTGGTGATGTGGATTTTGAAGGTAAATGACACACGACTGCTTTAGTGTTCTTACAGTACTCGTTTCAGGATCAGGTTTAGTGTTCTATTATAGTATATATTGATGTCTTGAATGAGCTTTTACTCTTATTTCAAAGTTTTTCAAAGGAAGTTTTTCATCTAATATTTATACTTTATTTATTTCAGCATTATTGTAGTTAATGAAAACATTATTTTTTTAATAGTTTTAGGTTTTGTTTTAGTAAACAGTAACAACAATATGGTTCATCCAAAAATGGAAATTGCAATTATTTACTCACCCTCATGTCATTCCAAATCCATATGACCGTCACAAAAGGTGATGAGCTTCAAGCTTAAAAAAGGATGCAAAAGCACCATAAAAGTACTGTATCATAAAAGTGGTTCATACAATGTGTGCTCTGTTTTACAAGTCTGCTGAAATGAAATGATAGCTTTGTGTGAAGCCATTATTCACCAACAGTTTATCCCTTCACTGAGCTGTTAAGTCAGCGAGTCAGTGAGTTTAACTTGAGAACTGAATCAGTGCAATTCATAAATTAATCCTTTGGTTTGGTTTTGTGAATAGAATCATCTGATTCATTTCAAAGATCCGATTTGGGACAAGATTTGAGTCTTGAGAAGGAAGATAAATAGTATGGGTTTGGAATGACATTTTTGAGTGATCTGTTCGTTTAAAATGAGCAATAATTCTGCATGTGCGTCAGTTAGTGTATCTGATATCATATCGCAATCCCTCTAAGGCACTGTTTGGCTCATTGTGTGTTCGTTGGTTGGATGCCACTTAGCAACACGATTTATAGTTTGATTTCTTTTCTCTTGGTAGTATAAAAGAAATTCTTGGCTTGGGCAGAGCTCTTAGTGTTATTTAAGACATGGTTTGTTTTTGTCTCCCTAATCAGCTGTGAAGGTGAAGGCTGGATTCATCACTCCTGTGCCTGGAGGAGTCGGCCCAATGACCATCGCCATGGTGATGAAAAACACAGTCACTGCTGCCAAAAATGCTCCAACATACTGAACAAACACAAAACCTGCCATTACGGTTGGACAAGAGACAAGCACTTCAGTCTGGATACTTTAATTGGCACTATTTGTCCATACATCTTGATTATAAGCGCAAGCCCCTGCAAGCTTCCTCTACAACATCCTTCCCTGCCCGTCGGCAAGCTGTAACAGGCTGTTCTAGCTGGCACGGCAGCCATGCATGTCCATGACAGTAACTACACCCTAATTCGTTTCTTAATGCTGTAAAAATGAGAGAGATGCCTCCTCAATGATTCTAAGGAGCTGTCGCCTTTGCTACAGTGTTATTATTTTGTCGGAGCCAAGAAAATAAGAAGGGTTTACTGTGCAAGTGTAATATTACCTCCCTGACGATGCATGGGTGAAGCCGGAAGTCTTACTTGCATCATCCTCACAGGAGAGTTTCGGTAGAACTTGACAAGCTGCTCAACAGGTGGCCTCATAGCAGGGTAATAGATGGTTCTCAGATATCTGACAGATGAATCTGTTGGCACTGAGACAAATGGGACATTAATACATTTTCTCAGGAAATTATTTTAGAATAGTAGTTTGAACTCAGTAACAAAATGGCAAAAAATAACACAAGGATGCTGCTGTCCTTAATATTTATTTATTCATCTACCTATTTAAGGTATTATGTATACATTGTTTATTATGCTTTTGTTAAAAAAAAACCAAAAAAAAAAAACCTAGATTTGTTATAAATAGCTTGTATTTATGATTTTTATCACCATGAAGTATTTAATATCATTTTCCTGCTTTATTTATTAGTGTGATTTATGGCATGGTCTTGACATCAAAAACATTAATTTAAAGGGTTAGTTCACCCAAAAATGAAAATTCTGTCATTAATTACTCACCCTCGTGTTGTTCGAAACCCGTAAGACCTTCGTTCATCTTCGGAACACAATTTAAGGTGTTTTTGGGTGAACTAACCCTTTAAATATATCTGATGCTTCCCTGAGACATTTCATAATGTGGACATATATTTTGCGCTATAAAAAAGCTGTGAAATATAAAAATGACTTGAAAGTATAGTCACAGTAGTTTGTGACTAATATAATATGTTTGTATAAGGATCAGTCCAGAATTTTAAGTCACTATTCACTGAAAATCATCGCTTCCGGTGTAAACCTCAAAACTCAGGAACAGCAAGCAAAAACCATGACGTTTGGTGCCATTGACGTCAAACTTGGCGTGACATGTCATGGCATGGAAATATATGTGAATGAGATTTGAGATATGGCAGGAGTCGAATGGACTACTTTTACAGTGCTTTTTGTCATTTTTGGTCACCATACACTTTTATTTACGAAAGAGATCAGCTCAGATATTCTGACTGACATCTTTTGTGTTACATGAGAGGGAATAAATGATGACAGAACATTCATTTTTGGGTTAGCTAGGTAAACTATCCCTTTTAAGGCTCTTGTGTTGCTAAAGATTTCACTTCAGAGATCAATATACCTATTACAATCTGCGACTCTCTAAAAAGAGATTTGATTCTTACTGTTCTAAATATTGGTGGTTTACAAGAAGAAGCCATGTATGAAAGAGTCTTCATTAAGAAACCTGTTTATGGAAAGTTCAATGGCAAACCCCCCCATTTGATTTTTTATTTATTTTTTTAATAAAACAAAACAAAATTAGAAGATGGGCGATCGGTTAGATCATTGACCATGCAAATAATTTAAAATTATGGCTTGTTATGTGATATACCAATTTGCTGTTGAGATGAATGTTCCAAATCGATCTTCCAAAATCATTAAAATATTTCATTGCTAAATTATGTTTTTCCACATAAACACTTAAAAATATGAAATCTCTGATTCTCATTTTTTTCAATGCCCCAAGGTTCTTGGCAATTAGATTATATCTACACTGTGTCCAACATATTACATCAAATTACTGGTTACAAGTTACAGGCGAATGTTTAGTAGGCTGCAGAGTTTAGTACATGAGAAAGATTTTTATTTTAATATTTTTCATTGTAATTAATAAAAAACAAGAGTGACTACCCAAAAAATAAGAAAATGTGCAAAGCATCCAAAATAGGATGCTTTTTTGTAATACTTGCTTTCATTATGTGACAGGGGGGTAATGGGACATGACAGTCAGTAAAACAGTTAACAATTAAAATAATACTTTGGCTATATCTGTAATTAGAATTTTCTTTAATATCTCTTGTGCCAATAAGTACCTATGTCAAAAGCCCGTTTTCGCAGCTGCAGGCAAATTCTTTGGTCACTGAAAAAAAAAAAAAAACATGGGGTGTTTGGTAGGCTGCAGAGTTTAGTACATGAGAAAGATTTTTATTTTAATATTTTTCATTGTAATTAATAAAAAACACAAGAGTGACTACCCAAAAAATAAGAAAATGTGCAAAGCATCCAAAATAGGATGCTTTTTTGTAATACTTGCTTTCATTATGTGACAGGGGGGTAATGGGACATGACAGTCAGTAAAACAGTTAACAATTAAAATAATACTTTGGCTATATCTGTAATTAGAATTTTCTTTAATATCTCTTGTGCCAATAAGTACCTATGTCAAAAGCCCGTTTTCGCAGCTGCAGGCAAATTCTTTGGTCACTGAAAAAAAAAAAAAAACATGGGGCCAAAAACACGCCTGTGCATGCTGCTTGCCTGTGGACCAGGAAGTGATGTGGAGCATTGTACAGGTATGGGTAAAAGACAAAAAATTGTGGGGAATAACCACTTTCATCTGGAGAGCAGCAGAAGTGTGACGAAGATCGGACAAACCCAGAATCTCCAGTCTAACTGAATCTATACTTGGGCCGCAGCATGACACAAGAAGTGGATAAAAGGTGTTTGCACTATCAGGGTGAGTCATAATACTTTTCATAAAACAAAATAGATTGATAAGGAGCTTACAACAAAATGACTGTCTTCTACTTTAAAGACGATAAAAGTGAAATGTATAGTTACTATAATGTAATCCTAAAACTCCATCAGTACTTGGATTGATGGTGGTGTTAGCCGTCTTCTCTGGACTTGGAGACACTAAGGAGAAATCAGAGGATGCGCTCCTATACAACACAACACACAGTAATGGTAAGTACTTCAAAATTATACATAATTATTTTGAAAGACTGCGGTCTTTAAGTTTTTTTTTTTTTAAGTCTCTCACCAGGCTGAATGTATTTGATAAAAAAGATACAGTACATCAGCAATATTGTGAAATATTTAAATTTAAAAGAACTGTTTTCTATTTTAATATAATTTATTATCTCTCTCCCTCTACTCTAATACTCTAATTAGCATTTGTTGACATGTAGTTGCCAAGTTACTTTTCGTTAGTATAATATCTAAAGTGGACAACTGTAATAACCCTAACTGAAGTAACCCTTTGTTTTAAATGAAATGAGCATTCTTGTCATTTCAAATATGCATTGTGCTAAGAATGCCGGTTCTTTGGCATGTGGACACAAGTCTGAATACCTATCCATTAAAATCACAATCCTTCATGCTTAACTGTCTGGGGGTGTGTGTGTGTATCAGTAGGAAGTGGAGAGGAACCGCGAGTTTTGGCTATTCAAAGGCCCTGCGGTCCAGAACACGAGGGATTCTGTGTCAATGGCGTATGTTCCTACTCCTCCGACCTGGAAACCCCTATCTGTCGGTGAGAGCAGCCACCAAAAACAACTCATCTACTCAATAATCCTACATTTTAAACCTTATCAATCAATTGACACTGATCAAGTCTTGATTATTTAGTTCATGTTGGTTTGTTTAGCAAACTAGCAAGTTGCAAAGCTTGGGTTGTGAATAAAGCCTTGTGGATGTTTATAAAATAGGATGATCTCTTAGAAATATCCCACCCAAATTTCCTGTTTCACAAGGAATCGACATGTGGAAAAATAACTGTAGTCAACAGGCCATTTCATAGGGTGTTTAACTGTTGAAAACGATGGATTCCAAGACCTTCCTAACAAACACGATTTCTACTGTCTTTAGGTGTGACAAAATGTACAGCGGTGTGCGCTGTGAACATGTTATTTTGGACACCCAGCGTTTGTCTAGTCCTGAAGAAGTCATTGGAATTAGCTGTGGTGCAGTTTTATTACTGGGAACCATCATTGCAGTGATGTACTGCTGCTTAAAGAAAAGGTCAAATCTGGAATACATCATTCAGTCTTTTATTGCACAAGTAACAAATGCTTTGTTTACTGAGTATAATTAAATCTTTTCTGGTTTATACTTCACAGGTGTCGGAAGTCATCACCACCCTACAAGAACTGTGGCTCCGAGAACTTAAAGTTATCCGGCCAGATATAATTTGTGACCCTGGACCACAAAACCAGTCATAAGGGTCAATTTCTTATCAACTGAGAGCTGAATAAATAAGCTTTCCATTGATTTATGGTTTGTTGGAATATGGCAATATTTGGCCGAGATACAACTATTTGAATATCTGGAATCTGAGGGTGCAAAAAAAATCTAAATACTGAGAAAATCGCCTTGAATTAAGTTCTTAGCAATGCATATTACTAATTAAAAATTAAGTTTTGATATATTTACGGTAGGAAATTTACTAAATATCTTCATGGAACATGATCTTTACTTAATATCCTAATGATTTTTGGCATAAAAGAAAACGATAATTTTGACCCATACAATGTTTTTTTGGCTATTGCTAAAAATATACCCAAGCGACTTAAGACTGGTTTTGTGGTCCAGGGTCACATTTATGCTCTTAAATAAAGTGCTTTTAGGCCTAAGTCAGGAAGGAGGACTAAACATCGAGACTGACTCGACAAGCAAGACAGGCCAGGCTGTGGAGTAGAGAAACAACACCCTCTAGAGGACAGAGCGAGAATTGCAAAGAAACTGACATTTCACGATCTCATCTCATTGGGAAAATGCAGGTTGTTCCACAGAATCATTTTATATTTATTACACGTTTCTGCTACGTAGTTCTTGTAATTATACTACAACTTGGGCACTGTAATGTAAAAATAATTTACTACAAGCATTGAAAAACTGCATGTAGAACAATCAATCAGATGGAATTTTATCCATTAGCAAATGTCATATGCTGCCTCTGTTATGAATGTATTATGTAATTGTAAGTGCACATAGGTATTTATTGCACAGCTATAAACATGATAATACTAAATATAAAACCTAAACTGTGCTAATGTATTTGTATCAGATATTTATTTATTGACAAATTTGTATAAAATTTCCACCTAAAATAAAAAAACGTGAAAATGTGTTTTGTTTAAAATTACTGTCACATTGTTGACACATTGTTGTTCTCAGCTCAAGCAATATTAAACGCAATAACTGTCAATATAGTGCAGAGTTTCTTCTTGTAAGTTGCTTGAAAAATGAAAAGCAGATCAGATTATTTTAATAAAGATGTTCAATATGTAGAATAAATATTTTTCTATTTTCAAAAACTTTATTTATATACTTAGCAGGCACCCCTAATAATAACAATTAGAAACAATTGTTTTTCATTTATGGATTTAATAGAGAGGAAGGACAAAGGTCCTCAATTCAAGGCTCAAGAAATGACTCAAAGATTTCAGGAACAAGGGTACAAAAACAGGGTGATCAGCAAGGCATTTCATAAAGCAAGAAACATCAGTAGAGATGAGCTATTAGTACAAAAATGTAAATCACAATTTAAATAAGTTTCGAGTGCCTTGGACTACTATTATTCTTACGAGGAAGGACAAAGGTGTTGGTACACTAAACAGTGTTCAAACAGAAACCAGAATTTAATTTCTGTTTTCATAAAACAGTGTGTACATGTTGGTACAAACATATGTTTTAATCTAAATTGGCCAATCTGAATCGCCAATAGAAAACAGGACAAAAGTATTGAATATTCAAGATGTAATCTACTGTGAATGGAAGCATTTGGAAAGGCATTGTACTAGACAGAATTCAAACATTTTCAGTATGAAGTTGTGCCTGTGGCACCGGAACCAGCATTACAAAGACATTCTGACGGGAAATTAAGGCGCCTGTCTGTCCAGCTAAGAAAACTGTCCGTTTAGAAAACTTTCTGATGCTCCAGAGTTGTGTGAGGAATATGCCCCAGCATCTGTAAAACGTAAGAATATTACTTTGAATGTTCAGGCAATATGCTGAAGAAATCATGATACAGTGCAGTACTGCACGTACGCCTCCCTCTTCTCATAAGGGTGTTGAAAACATCGTTAAGAGTCGTTCTGTTGGAAGAACTGCTTCTGCCATAGATATGGGCTCCAGAGCTTGAAGTCTATGATAGGAAACATGCAATTGTATTTTTTATATAAACATTTTGGCATGAACAACTTGAAGGAAATAAAGGTGCGAAATGTGTTTACATGTGTGGCATGGGATCCAGTGATTCTCAATTTTCTTTTAAGTGTCTCCCGAACCTGTTAAGAAAGAAAAACATACATTTCAGACACCAAATACCTAGAAAGTAATGCCAAGCACAGCTCATAAGGAAACTCAGCTCAGAAACCAAACTTACCTTCTTTTCCATCAGTGTTCCGAGAACCAGTATAAAGAAGCCCTGAAATTAGTGAACAGGTCAGACGAGTTAGTGGTCATTTATCTGATAATCTGTGATAATGATGTGAAATGCATAAATCTTTGAAGAAATGTTCTAGGTTTAGTACAACAAGTTATGCTTGACCAACAGCATTTGTGGTATAATATTGATTTCTTCTAAGTGTAATGGATGGTGGAGAGTTTGTTCTATCCAACCGGTTGTTGATTGGATGGAGGCAGATCTGAATGTGAGATTGTGGTTGATTGTAAGAAAGGGGTTTATGCAGACTAAGGCCCAATCCCAATTGTACCCCTTAGCCCTTCCCCTTTCCCCTAGGGGTAGGGGTGTGTCGATTCTCTTTTGGTTGGAGGGGGTAGGGGTAAGGGGAAGGGTCAGATAGCCCTTCAAACGAAGATTTTTCGGGACCACACTTCAAACGAAGGGGTATGAATTATCTCCGCGTAAACCAGCTTTAGCGGCAACATGGCTGCCCAAGCGAACAAAAAGACACATAAATGTAAGCATTTTTGGGCATTAATAAAGATTTTAATGAAAAGTAATCATTTGTTTTATGTTACATTCAATCGTGAGTTCATATTACGGTCATGTTACTCAAAGAAATGTTTGCAAAAAA